AATATTTTTCTTTAATGTGATGTATATACCCCTTCTGTTTGTTTTTCTTTTTCTTTTGTTTTTTGTTGTTGTTTTCCAAAAAAAAAGTGTTATTTTTGTCTTTCCATTTTCTTTATAATGTACTGTGATGGTATATTCAGATTTTTCGCATTAAAAAAACTCAAAAAATCTAAGCTACAAGTCTGAATATCACACTAACTGTACCCCAAAAAAAAAAAAAAAAAACTAATACTACTAATACTTTCCTTCTTAGACTGTACAGACCTGAAACTTGCCTACAGCACTTATTCATTGTTGCTCTTATAGTTGTGTAAATTGCTTCCTTGTCCTCATTTGTAAGTCGCTTTGGATAAAAGTGTCTGCTAAATGACTAAATGTAGATGTAAGTGGGTGTGGCTAACCAGCACCATTTTGTTCTCATGTCATCATCGCTCCAACCAGGGATACCAAATAAGGGCAAAGAGGCGGAGCTTAGACTGGCTTTCCTAAAGGAGAAGCACTAATACTTCATTACCTGCGACTCTTTTGTGTTCTGACCACATGTGCTTGGTTGTATAAAATATCAATAAAGTGTTTAGACAAACACTGTTTTAATACATTGAGCCACTAAACATGATGTTTTTCTACAGGAGGAAAATGTGAATTACTTCCAAACACTTCAAATATAGTCTGTGTTAGTAAATGCAAGGCTATTTAGGAAATCCAGGAGTAACACTGTATGACAACGCTTCAGATGACTGTTCTAGAGCCTACAGCTAATCAATCTGTCAGACTTTGGAGTGCATTAAAGTTCTAAAGAAAATGATAAATGATCTTAAATAAAACAAATCCATTTATAGACATGGTATATAACTATATCATTTCACTCACCTGCGAAATGGAGGCCACGTGGCACACAGCATGCCATGTCATCTGATAATTGTAAGAAATAATTCCAAAAAGCAACTGACTGTGTAAAGCCACATAAAACAAAACAAAATTACCATGTATATTTATAAGTTCAGCGGCTAATCAGCCGGAATCAGCTGAGGTGAAGTGACGGCGACCAGCGGGACCTAGCTGTCACTCAAGTGGCCAGGCCCTTAATTATGCAGACTTAATATAACCATAATATAAATGAAATGGATGAGTTATAAAAACCCCCTCACAGTTTTAAGTGTATTGTTAGATATGAACCAAAATCATTTGTTTGTACCAGGCTGTAAACACATATTTTTCAGCTGTAAAGTTGGCCATTTTAACAGTGGGCTTAATAGAAATTTGTTCTATTAAGGAGCCAGGACTTTAATGAATTGCAGTTTCAGTTGCTTCCATATTTGCTTCCGAGGTAGAGTGGGAGATTGCTACTTGATTGGGACGCAGCAATAGCATTTTCAGGCCTCCAAATCATTGTTGTCAAATTAATGTAAAAATGTCCAAATATAGCTAGTAAACAAAAACTTTCCTGTTTTTAGTCAAAAGCCTTAAACAACAAAAACTAAATACAAATGGTAGCAAAAATTTTACAACTTTTATTTAAAAAACTGTTAAATTTTTGCTATCATTTGTGTTTAAACCATTTGTTGAAGCTAATGTGTAGGTGATATCATTTCATGTTCTTTTTGATGATTTGCTCAGGGGCTATGGTGTTAGTGCCTCTGTGCTGCTATTTTCTAGTCAATACAAATAATAGCAAAACTGTAGTTTTTTAAATACCTCAAAACAAGCTAAAAATCTTTTCAAGCTAATGACTAATTTCTCCTTTTTTTCCCAAGGCTTTCCTCTACCTCTATATACATTAGAAACGAACACACAGAAAGGCGACAAAACTACTATTATTTGTCTGTTAGCACAGCAGCTAACTCCATAAAGCCGGAAATCCAGCAGCACAATCCATTCATCCGATTAACACTTCCGCATGCCGCTCCTCTGTATTTCACCTCGGAGGGTCTTAGCAGTGGTCCTCCTACAGGCCAAGTGGCCAAAGCAACGTGATTATGAGTTAAAACGTCTGAGCCGGACTCAAACGGGGACTTTAGCCATTCCCGCTGTGTTCTGACCCAGTTCAGGCGATTATAAGGCCTAATGGATGCTTAATTTCTATATGTGCCATATATTGTGCCTAACTTATATCAGAACAGCAGCATGATTTCCTCTGAAAATTCGATAATTTCTCCAAGCGAGTGTTTGTTCCAAAGCTAGAACTGGACAATCCATGTTTCAGTCCAAATATAGGAGCCAATACTAGAAATCTTGGATCATCTCCAAACATTTGGTCATTTGGCTCTTGCAACATCCAATCTGGGCCATCGACAGCGGGGGACAACCGGGAAAGCTGTCCCAGGGACTGGGCCAGGGCCAATTTTTGGGGCTGGGACCCCCTAAGGGCCTCCAACAAGGGATCCACCCACAGAAATATAATTGTGAGCAAAAACATTTACATTTATGCAAGAGAATTATACATCATCTCTGCCAAAGGAATAAATGAACAAGAAAGTTTACAGATCTAGTCTCACTTTACTTTTAGATTCTGTTCACAAATAGATATCAGCCATTAATTTCTCCTTAAGCAGCACTCGCTCCCTCACATAAAATATTTCATCATATACCAATTAGCAAGCGTGTAATCATTTATTGAATTTGCAGTTATGAATTCCCTGTAAATGCAAGGGTAGTGCTGCGTGGGTGAGATTTGCCCATGATAAATAACATAACTCTTTAAATGTTTTTTCCCTGCGACTAATAGTTCTGAGAGACACCTTATGAACAGCACGCACACAAAACCAGCCTCAAGAGAGATGAACAGCACAAAAACGATGCTTTTATGCAAATATATGCTGTTGCTCAGTGCTTTTAAACTCATATAAGGAGCCCTGTTAATAACTCTGTCTCATTTACAGACCATTTGGGAGGAAATATTACTGTGAGTTACAAAAACACCTCCATTTTGAACATGCATTGAAACTTTGTACTCAGAAAAGTACAATAAAGAACTCAATGTTATATCATGTTTTCAGAGTACTTGACCTTTAGAGTTTAAGTCTAAGTTTACGTTTACACAACAATGTAGACAAAATTGTAAGTTTTTCCTTGTGTTTGAAAAAATTTAATATCCGTAAAAATGACCAAAACCACTGTAATATGTATGCCAGGCACGTATTTGTTGCTGTCATCTTGTTAGTAAACAGTACCTGTTGGAAAGCTACACGCATCCGACACTTTATTAGGTACACCTGTCCAGATAATACGCAGAATTCTAATCAGCCAATCACAGGGCAGCAACTCAATGCATTTAGGCGTGTAGTCATGGTCAAGACGATCTGCTGCAGTTCAAACTGAGCATCAGAATGGGGAAGAAAGATTTAAGTGATTTTGAATGTGAGATGGTTGTTGGTGCTTGACAGGCTGGTCTGAGTATTTCAGAAACTGCTGATCTGCTGAGATTTTCACACACAACCATCTCTAGGGTTTACAGAGAATGGTCTAAAAAAGAGAAAATATCCAGTGAGCGGCAGTTCTGTGAGTGCAAATGCCTTGTTGATGGTCAGAGGAGAATGGCCAGACTGGTTCGAGCTGATAGAAAGGCAACAGTAACTCAAATAACCACTCGTTTCAACTGAGGTATGCAGAAGAGCATCTCTGAATGCACAACATGTTGAACCTTGAGGCGGATGGGCTACAGCAGCAGAAGACCACACCAGGTGCCAGTCCTGTTAGCTAAGAACGGGAAAATGAGGCTACAATTCGCACAGGCTCACCAAAATTGGACAATAGAAGATTGTAAAAACGTTGCCTGGTCTGATGAGTCTTGATTTCTGCTGCGACATTCAGATGGTGGGGTTAGAATTTGCCGTCAACAACATGAAAGCATGGATCTATCCTGCCTTGTATTAACAGTTCAGGCTGGTGGTGGTGGTGTAATGGCGTGGGGGATATTTTATTGGCACTCTTTGGGACCATTATTACCAATTGAGCATCGTGTCAACGCCACAACCTACCTGAGTATTATTGCTGACCTTGTCCATCCCTTTATGACCACAATGTACCCATCTTTTGATGGCTACTACTTCCAGCAAGATGACACGCCATGTCATAAAGCGTGAATCATCTCAGACTGGTTTCTTAAACGTGACAATGAGTTCACTGTACTCAAATGGCCTCCACAGCCACCAGAGCTCAATCCAATAGAGCACCTTTGGGATGTGGTGGAACAAGATTCACATCATGGATGTGCAGCCAGCAAATACGCTTTTGGTTTTAATGCAAAGTAAATACACACTTTGCTGATGAAGCATTAGCAAATATGTTCTACGCCATTGCTGTTTGTTTGCATTTGTATTTAATCTACACCTCCCAAAACAAGTAATATGCATGTGTATGACAACATCTTTTTCAAAGACTTGTGTTTTTTTTTTTTTTTGGGGGGGGGGGGGGGGACATTACAAGAACATTACAAGAGACTCCAAAACCTAAAACAAATGGGTCAGATAAGGGAGACATCCAAAATATGTACTGTTGGTTTGCCTCCAAGAAAGTGGTTGAGAAACACTTTTATAATTGACCCCCTAAACACACCCATTATAACAGCATGGTAGAAATGGAGGAGTTATTTTGGTGCTGTTACCAAGATAGCAGAATAATTTAAATAGCATAGCTTTAAGAAAGTGCCAGTTCTGTTGATTATAATGGGAGGTATCTACATTTGTACCTAAAGCTGGAGTTGTAGTCCAGACAGACACTTGGCACTAATACATGGCAGATCTTGAGGGCAGTGAATACAGAATGACATATCACTAGTAACACCCAGTCTGACTAAATTAACACAGAAAACTAGATTACCCATGAAGCTGTACAGGGAATTCCACCAATCAGAGAGGCACAGCAAGCAAAGTGCCACATAAAGATTCTTAGCTACGCCCGCTATGACATCACTTATGGCAAGACTCCCAAAACACTTGGATATTTGGATATTTTGCAATAAACTTGAAACGTATTTCTAACAATAGATGAATAGTTCAATATTTCTTCATAATTTTTAGTGTTATTTGCACTGCTTCACTGTATACATCAAGTACATGGTTGGGTACCTTCATCTTTAGGTTAGACTTTCACATACTTTAGCTTTAAAGACTCTAAGTTAGCTAGCAGTCCTTTCCGAACATCCTCTAGTCATACAAAACAGCAAGTCAACATGCCAAAATGTGTTTGTGCTCTGTTAGGAATTCTCATTAAAATCTGTCACCTGAATCACACCCTCCGTGCTGATGCATACTGAGATTGGTATTCCCAGTAAAAAGTCCTGCCTTTGTTTTTCCATATGGCTCTGGCATGTTAGCATCATTACACTGGAGCTGTTAGCCTGCAGCTATGGATATTAGCATAGCATGAAAATCCCCTCCGTCCAGGCCGGCTGCCAGTCGCCTGCAGACGCATCTGTGTGAGCTGTTTTCCAGACAACTAGTGATGTCTCTCTCCTATAGATGAATCATCTCAGGTGGGTGCTCGAGCCAAAAGCTGTTAGGAAAGTAGTATAAACTTTAGGAAATGTACGTCGTGAAGGCCTTCAGGGCGTTTGTTTGCGCTTTTGACATATGGACTTTTAGATGTATTATGACTGAGAAAGAAATGGTTCTCACCGTCTTTACCCATCTGTTGCCTCCAGAAACGGTCTCATTTCTCTTCTTCCTCTGCAGGATCTCCACTGAGACAGGACGAAAACATTCGGAGGCATTGAAATGCGTTTTCTGCAGAGCGCGCCATCGCTCAGACCAATAAACACGAGCACCTGAGGGATTGCATCTATCAAAACCTGAGAGAAGAGGACGGCCAAACAAAGTCTGATCTATCTATCATTTCATTTATAAAACCTATTGAAAAGCCGTCACGAATCGTAAGAAAAAAAGGATAGAGAGGTATGGGAGATAAAGTAACTACAGCAGATAAATCACAGCTGATCTGTCACCTGCAGTTTCACATTGAGACGGTGTTTAAGACGGATGCAGGGAGTGCATTTAACCCCAGTGGAGGACCTGAGTGAGAGCAGGACCTTGCCAATTATTCTACCCTTAATTCATCACGGGAACCCACACTGGTCTGACATAGAGGTGGTGCAAAACAGCAGGTAAACCTAATTCTGGACAAATGTAAAGGCAGCACTCTTACTAACACAAAACACATGCTGGTTTTAGTGGTTCATGAGGACTCTCCATGGGCAGAGTGTATTTTACAGTAAAAACACTTGTTATTTGGATTTATCCTCTCCTTATCCCTGTATCAAACTCTTAACCAGAAACCAGGGGCAAATTCTGAAGGTCAAAAAAATAAATAAATAAAATAACGTTAAGTATGCTTTTTAAGTGTTTTAAATTATGAGGACACAGGGAATGTGGCGTCAACAACATGAAAGCATGGATCCATCCTGCCTTGTATCAACAGTTCAGGCTGGTGGTGGTGGTGTAATGGTGTGGGGGATATTTTTTGCCACACTTTGGGCCTATTAGTACCAATTTAGCATCGTGTCAATGCCACAGTATTGCTGACCATGTCCATCTCTTTAAGACCACAGTGTACCCATCTTCTGATGGCTACTTCTAGCAGGATAACGCACCATGTCATAAAGCACGAATCATCTCCGGTTGGTTTCTTGAACAAATCTCAATCCAATAGTGCGCCTTGCGGGATGTGGTGGAACGGGAGATTAGCATCATGAATGTGCAGCAGACAAATCAGCAGCAACTGAAGCAAAATCTCTGATCTATTTCTAGTACCTTGTTGAAACGTGGTTCAAGTACCAAATTTAAATATGAAATAATTGTGTGTAATATTAAATACATATGAAAAAACATATTTCAAAATGATTTCATATACAATATTTAAATGTGCACACAACTAATTAATAATGCACAATATGATTATAATAATTAAGCATTGTCTATTATCTGACTGATAAAAACTGACATTTCTTCATGCAAAATATTCAATAATTATCTAAAAGGAAATATGCAACTTAATATGCAAATATAAAAAAAATCTTAAACCAAAATAAACCAAAATACAATACTGATATTACAATTGTAATTCTATTGATGCACTTTCAAATATTGACCTGTAAAACCTGTAATGTCCCCTCTGTATTTAAGTGCCACCTTCCCCCCCAAAAAATCAATGCTAGTAAATAAATAATAAATTAACCATACGTTTTTTTTTCCTGCTGGTTGCCTTCAGAAGCAGTGAGCTTAGACCTCTGACCTTCAGAATCATTCAAGAGGCCACTTTCACACACCCCACTCTCTATTTGCAAGAAAAAAATGGAACACAAAGAATCTGCAGGTATTGCAAAGAGGCAAGAGGAAGTCAAAGAAACAGGGAAATGATGAGCGCCTCGGACAGACAAAGACAATTAGGATGATGGTGGGGGCAGCGGGAGTTGTTGAACATTGAGAGAGGAGAGGAGAGGATCAGTGAGATGAAAGACCACGGAGAGAAGGAGAGGCCCCTGAACAACAGGACCCTCGGCTCTAGAGTGTGTGTGTGAGAGAGAGAAAGAGAGAAAGAGAGAGAGAGAGAAAGAGAGAAAGAGAGAGTGTGTGTGTGTGTGTGTGTGTGTGGTTAGGGTGGAGTTCTCCATCCCATATTGGCTGTAAACCTCTTATGATTAACCCCCTCCCCCGCGAAAATTGTATGTGTGGGATAGCATCCATCACGTCACTATGGCAACATGGAGTGGCCTGATGAGGGGCTTAAACCAATGTTTGAGAGTCACAGAGGATAGATAGATAGATAGATAGATAGATAGATAGATAGATAGATAGATAGATAGATAGATAGATAGATAGATAGATAGATAGATAGATGTGTGCTAAAATGCACGCTTCAGAACAGCTGTGAGGGAGATGCCTCTGGTGTCCCACAGTAAGGTGGACATTTGACATGTGACCCCTGTAGGACCCCAGGGTCAAAGGTCAATAGGGTCACAAGGGGTCATGCTACAAATAATTATCTGGGTAAGCTAAAGCACTAAACTGATTGCAAAGACAGGTTCTCTATCTCTCCATCCATCTTTCTGTACAGTCTCCTATCCATACATTTTGTCTGTCTGTCTGTCTGTCTGTCTGTTTATCCATTTTTTAAATTAAAAAAGAAAGAAAAATTGTTACAGCATTATTTAAAAAGGGATTAAATTAATTTATTTTCCCAAAATTCTACACACAATACCCCATAATAACGATGTAAAAAAACAAAGATTTTTTAAAATTGTTGCTAATTCATAAAAAAATAAAACAACCCGAAGAATCACATGCAAAGAAGTATTGACAGCCTTTGCTGTGAAGCTCTAAATTGAGCTCAGGTACATTCTGTTTCCACTGATCCTTCTTGAGATGTTTCAGCAGCTTAATTGGAGTTCACCTGTGGTAAATACAGTTGATTCAACATGATTTGAAAAGGCATACACCTGTCTATATAAGGTCCCAGGGTTGACAGTGCATGTCAAAGCACAAACCAAGCATGAAGACAAAGGAATTGATCAATAACCCGATGGTCACTCTGTCTGTTTCTTCTGTTGAGAGAGGAGAACCTTACAGAAGGACAACCATCTGTGCAGCAATCCACCAATCAGGCCAGTATGGTAGAATGGCCAAACAGAAGCCACTTCCCGCCTGGACTTTGCCAAAAGGCATCTGAAGGACTCTCAGACCATAAGAAAGTAAATTTTCTGGTCTGATGAGACTAAATATCAACTCTTTAAAGTGAATGCCAGGCATTACATTTGGAGAAAACCAGGCACGGCTCATCACCACGCTAATAGCATTCCTACAGTGAAGCATGATGCTGTGGGGATGTTTTTCAGCAGCAGGTACTGGAAGACTTCTCAGGATAGAGGGAAAGATGAATGCAGCAATGTACAGAGACATCCTGAATTAAAACCTGCTTCAGATTGCTCTTGACCTCAGACTGGGGCGACGGTTCATCTTCCAGCAGGACAATGACGCAAAGCAGATCACCAAAATATCAAAAGTGTGGTTTCACAACAACTCAGTGAATGTCTTTGATTGGCCCAGCCAGAGCCCAGACCTTAATCCTATTGAACATATCTGGAGAGATCTGAAAATGGCTGTACACAGTTGCTTCCAATCCAACCTAATTAAGCTTGAGAGGCACTGCAAAGAGGAATGGGTAAAAATAAAAGACAGGCATGCCAAGCTTGTGGCATCTTATTCAAAAAGACTTGAGGCTGTAATTGCTGCGAAAGGTGCATCAACAAAGTATTGAGCAAAGGCTGTGAATACTTCCTTGAATGTGATTTTTCAGGTTTTTTATTTTTAATAAATTTGCAACATTTAAAAAAATGTTTTTTTCACCTTGTCATTATGGGGTATTGAGTTTTGAGGAAATAAATAATTCAATCCATTTTGGAATAAGGCTGGCCTGGAACATAAAATTGTGGAAAAAGTGAAGCGCTTTAAAAACTTTACAGATACTCTCTATCCATCCATCCATCCATCCATTTCTTTAAGGGTCTTCTATCCCTTTATCTTGTCATTTATCCATCCATCATCTATTTGACACCAACCTTTTTACTTGCCTGTTTCTATCTTGTCTTATTTATGAATACTCATCCATATTTATACACTCCAGTTGTCTATGTATATACCTATCCATCCTATTAATCACATTTTCAATCAAGAGTACAGTATGAAATTTGACGTGAGGTTGCTGTAATCCTTGAAGCATCTTTATCATAATGGGAGTAAATACACACAGACTTTTACTTATCAGTCAGCCAGCTAAAGCTGTCATGCCATTACAAAATAGCATTTAAGATCAGATTAAAATTTTTTGCCTGACTGACATATGACAAAAAGTGAGTCTCAGTGCAACGCTGCATTAATTTCCACTGTTCCGCAATAAGGAAATTAATTTTATATCAATATTGTCAACGGAGTTTCTGCGCTCGCCTGCTGCTCCGAATGGTGCTTGTGTTTAAACGGTCTTCCATTTAGTTTTTTAAGCTTGAACAACTAAATAAATGCTTAAATCTAATTAACTGAATATATTTTAATTACATTACACCATTGATCCTGCAAAAGAAACCTTATGTAACAGAAAATAGTCACATTAACCTTTCGCTGGAAGTTCATCGGGGGCTGAAAAACACTCTGTGCATACCCCAGTAAAAAGGTGTATTACGTCAACTACATCGAGTATCAGGTGATCATGTCAGAGCTTGTAGAAACAAGTCCTGCATTCGTTCAGACCGACAGGAGCGCGTCCGGACAGCTGGTCTGTCATCACACCCTCGTCCTCCTCCAGGCCCACAGCCACCGACACGCCACATTTATCCATCAAATCCAAACCGACAGCTCTTCAACCCTGTAAAACAAAGACTGCAAGCACCATCCTGGACCCAAACTGATTATCCTGAGCTCCAGACATCGCTTTTTAGATCCTGTCCCATGGAAACATCTTTCCTGACACCTGCTGTAATGGCAAGACAGGCCTTTTTTTTCCGGTTAATTTATGTGGGACACATTCATTCTCAACTGGCAGGGAGCCGCTGCCCCATATTTTGTCCTGACAAATTCTCCATCTGGCATCAATTATGTGACAGAAAAATCAGGAAATTTAGGTTTAAACGACTGCTGTTCATATAAACACTGATATTTGACATTTATGATGCTACTTCATTTAGCTTTAGCTTATCATACATTCTATATTAAGCTCAAAGAATTAAGTACAGAAATTTAATGACTGTAAAGAAATGTACTCAGTGTTATTGATTAGGTGTTAACAAAATTGTAAGTGAGGTGTGAGTTTGTTTGTATTCACTTACCGTCTTAACGTTAGGCTACATGAGAAAAAAAGACGAAGGTGTTAACGCGTTAAAAGTGCAGTCAAAGAAAGTTTTTTTTTCCACATTACAAATGAATGTAAAACGTCAAAAAAGCGCCAAAATGTCATGTTGTTGTGACACTGACACAGCCGGAAGCTGCCAAGAGTAAAACAATAAGTAACGTCATGATGTCGTGTGACTAAAATAGCAGCGTTTAAAATAGTCTCTCGAGCAGAGATGTATAAAGTACTAGAGACCCATACTTAAGTAAAAGTACAAGTGCTTTATCAAAAATTGACTTGAGTAGAAGTAGAAGTGCTCTTTAAGCACCATACTTAAGTGGAAGTACAAAAGTATTCAACATTTTTTGTACTTAAGTATTGCAAGTAGTTTATTTCAAAATTTACTACTCAAGTACTGAAAGTAAAAGTACAAGTATTGTGTAATGTCGTTATTAAAGAAAGCAGTCAAAATACACTAATTGTTTTGTTTATTTTAAAAATCTTTTTTGGGGTACTTGATTAAGCACAACGAAAAGAAACGGCTTACGATACTGTTTTTCTCTGTAAATAGTTTCTATGGTACAAGAGCTCACATCGTCAGGCCCTTTTACCGGAAAATGCCTTCACTGATGAGATAATTCAGCATGTTCACT